CCCCCCCCCCCCCCAGCAGAACGGGGTGGTGGAATGCCAAAATTAAACTATCGTCGGGACAACAAGGTCATTACTGATGACGACCGGGATGCCTGGGAGGTTTTGGGGAGAGGGGGTGATGACAGCCGTCTATCTCCTCAATCGGTCGCCAGCGCGAAACCTCGACAGAAAGATTCCACATGAGGTCTAGTACAACAAGAATCCAGTGGTACATCATCTCCAAGTGTTCGGCTGCATCGCATACACGAAGGTAGTGCGTCCCCACCTCGCCAAGCTCAATCCCACGGGGCTGAAGGTCATCTTCATTGGCTACTAACCCAGGAGCAAGGCGTACAGGCTCTATGATCCTGTAGGGGGGGTGAGCTCATGTGTCGCGCGACGTCATCTTTGACGAGAGCACCTTCTAGCAGTGGAACGATGTATCAAGGTGGACCAAAATTCAAATCAATTCACGGTGGAGTACCTCGTCACCGAGCTGGGAGAAGGAGGAGCACAGCATCGGAAACTGTCACCGCTGCCAATAACTACACCCCCTAAACTAGTGGAGTTTGCAACACCACGGACTGCGAATTCGATACTGGATGCCAATCACGATGATGATCTGGTGGCGAGGTACCGAAGGATGGAAGACCTAGTGGGAGGAGGTGAACCACCTGGACTGGCGGCGCGCGAGCTCGAACAAGAGGTGGTCGAACTGCATGCCATCAGCGTAGATGAACCGAACACCTTCGTCGAAGCAGAAAGAAACCCATGCTGGCTGAAGGCAATGCAAGAGGAGATGACATCCATCACTGAGAAGAAGACATGGAGTCTTGAGGACATGCTGCCGGGACACCGAGCCATAGGGCTCAAATGGGTCTTCAAACTGAAGCATAACGAAGAGGGAGAAGTTGTGAAACACAAGGCCCGTCTGGTGGCGAAGGGCTACGTTTAAAAGCAAGAAGTGGACTTCGATGAGGTATTCGCACTAGTGGTAAGGTTGGAATCTGCCCGCCTATTGTTGGCAATCGCGACACATCATTCTTGGGCCATTTTCGAGTCATTTTCCATAGGTGTTGCCATTGACAATTGTTTCCTTCTTTGAGACAATGGTCATTAACTAGTTCAGAAAGTTATTTTCTCATTTTAGTATTATACCATTTCCACTAAAGACTGTCCTAAGCGTAAAATAAAGAAATAAAAAAATATGTACTCAAGTCTATAAGACCTCACACAAGTTTTATTTCTACCATCAGCTATCTCC